CGCGACGAACTACCGCTCCCACAAGGCCGCGCGAAGCCTGGCGGAAGTTGGCTCGGCGCGTGCAGCACGCCGGGAGTTGTAGTCCTCGCGGGCCCCGCGGCGGGAGATGGCCGCGTCTGGGCCTGCGCGGCGTCTTGCACCGGCGTGACGTCACACCGAGGACCAGGCTGGACTGCAGCTCCCAGAAGGCTCTGCGGGAGAGGTAAGGGGCGTCGCATTCGCTGCACCTTGGGGGCGGGCCCGGGCGTTCCTGTTCCAGCCAGGTTGCGGGACCGGGAGTCAGCCCCGGCGGGTGCATACCTACGAAACCTTACCGCCTCCACGCAGGGCGCTTGGCTTCTCTTCCTCAGTTTTCCCCTTCACGGGCTTCAGGGCCAAAACAATTTCAGTGGCACCGACTTGGGCCAGAGACGCAGCCAGGGAAATGATTTCCCTGACTCTCAGCGAGGACGCAGACGAAGGTCCAACCGGCCGCCGACTGGACCTCCGTCCAGTCCTGGGCGTTGTGCACACACGGCCCTTCATGAGGGACCCTCCGCGGTGCAGCCTGCCCCTCCGTGACCACCCCAGACGCTCTGTCCTGGGTGCAGGGCTATAGAGGGGCACCTGGCAGAATGACATGCAAAGTGAGGGATTTAGTGACTTTACAGGTCCGAGCTGGAGGGGCCTGCAAGAGTACGGTGACAACACGTCCCGATTTTTGGCGTTTTAAAAAAGTCCCGGTTTTTGGAAAGAATGCACAAGCTAGGGTACGGTCTATTTGGTCCATATAGACCAAAGTTTTAATCAAGAAACTGCCCCCTCCCCCTTCCTCAATGGTGTGAGCATTCCGAACAACTGAAAACAACCATGTCGGCCGGTCCTATTGTGTGGCTGTGTGACCGATACCGGGAGCCATGTCAAACACCAGCAGTCACCCACAGTGGACAGGCAAGTTCGTACTTTCCAGACAAAGCTAGCCTTCAGCATGGATTATACGGCCTAATATATAATTTTCTACACCCTCACAACTGGACCATGAACACCATAAGTGAAGAAAATATTTAAATCGTCAAGGATTTCATTTTACGTGGATCCACAGTTAACACCCATGGAAGCAGCAGTCAAGAACCCACACAATTTGGCAAGTCTACTGCCCAGGACCTTTGTGTTCAAAGACTCAAGCCACGGTATTTTCAACGGCCTCTTACGTTTGTGAAAGCCGCAGGAGGGATGCTGAAGACTGACGGACTGATGCTTTTGAGTTACGATGTTAGTGAAGAATACCGAAGTGCAGCCAGAATGCTCCTTAGAAGCAAAGACCGTGAGCCTTCATCTCATGTACTGTGGATGTGTTATCAGGAGGAACTAGCTCTGGAGCAGGATATCATGTTTGCTAAAAGCAGAAGGTCAGATGCTAAAGCCTCACTCTCCATGGCTGGGGCAATGATTGCTAGGCGGATGCAGGACTGAGAAGTGTCTCATTCTCTTGTGCTTGGTGGTCCCTATGAGTCGCAACCAAGGTAGGCGTAGAGTCCAGCCTGTCAATCAGGTGGTAACCTGGCGATGCCTCCTTGGGGGTTGGCCATTTTATGAGAGACACTGGGGACTTTTCCTCCCCTTGCCCTCACCCTCCTGCTTACCTCCAAGGGTGACCCCATGTGGGCTGCTGACCCTGTGAGCCAGGCTGGGAGCACCCTGTCACGTACCCACTGATTTTGGACCCATGAGACTCTTGATCTCCCTGTGCCCCACTACACTTCTCTGCGTCCTCGGTCTGCAGCTGTGAGCCTGAAGGTTGTCCTGGGTAGCATCGGACCCATGGACTTGAAGTTGGATTGGGCTCGGGTGCCTCCTTGATAGAAAGTTCTTTCTTTAAAAGATACGAGCGTCCCTTGTTTATCTAACACCCAACTCAATGAACAGCCAACACAAGAACAGAAGGCGTTGGGGTCTCCAGAGCCACCGACTAAATCCTGCTCTGTGGCAAGTGTGGATTGGACCATCCCCCACAAAGGGGCTGACCAGGAGTTGTGGAATGCTGATCACTGAGTGAGGGGCAGAGAAAGGAGGGGATCTGTCGAGAGGAAAGGGGTGGATGCTGACTGAACTGGGGGGTGGGGGCACCAGGGAAGGCAGAGGGTTGGACCCTAAGCTCATGGATGTGTGTGTATATGTGGCGGGGTGGTGGTGTTGTGATCCACATGGACCTCAAGTACTGGTTGCTTGTGAGCCACATGTGCCGACTTTGAGAGCTGCCAGGTATCCACCAGGTATGCCAGCCGCTGAGGCTCTCTGCTAGAATCCCTGTCCCTTCTGGAGGAGAGGCCTGGAGGGTGGGCATCGAGGGGTCCATCTGGCCCTGAGCTGTTTCTGGGAGGCCCAGCTGGGCTTGGTCCTCTACAGTCCAGGTCTCTGAGAGCCAAGACAAAGCTGTGGCCTCCCCCACAAAAGCCTGCCTGCCCGTCCCCGAGCTACTGCCCAACTTGCCGAGAGGGAGTGCAGGGGCAGGCCCGAGCCCTCGCTTCAAGCTCTCCTTCAGGCAGTGGGGCCCCTGCAGCTGCTCACCTTTGTGAGTTGGACACAAGTCCCAATCATATTCTCATAATTAATATTGTTCCCCACTATATCCTCCCATACCAGTCCTGCCTCCAAGTTACCTTACAAACACATGGCTGCTTGCTATCTGGCCGCAGATGTGCTATTGCTCTCGAGGGTCTGGAGAGTCACTCCCCCTTGCCTGCCCCCAGCACTAGGGTTAGGTTCCTCCTCCAATGTACTCAGGGACCTTTAGAGCTAAGGTACAACCCACTTTGTTCCGTATGTATGTGGTTACCTGTAATTAGGAGGGGTCTATATCACACCCCCGAGTATATAAGCTGTTGTTGGAAATATAATCTCTCTCTGCAGAGACCTGCCTCCTGAAGTCACGGCAGAGGAGGCGAGGCCTTGCGTGCTTTGTCTTGTCTGATGTCTCTTTAATTTACCCTTCAATTCCACAAACGCCCCCCTTGTACCTATTTGGTTGTGGGGGCTGGTACCCCACGGGAGGACAGAGTGCCAGAACATGAAGGACCACCCATACGAAGGGGGCACTATCCTGGTCTTCCAAATGAGCCCACATGACCCTTTTGTGACTTTTGCCCTCTGCCCCTTACTTTGGAGTTCAGTGAGACCCACTGTAAGAGGCCTTCTTGGACCATGCTCCCAGACGTGCAGTACTAAAATGCCCTGTGTTCTGCTCCAATCCCAGGAACATGTTGGGGGAGAGGGGTACAGAAGACACAAAACAGCAACCACGCCCACTCCATCCAGTAGCCCCACCCACCCAATGGACTGCCCAGGAAGCAAGCTGCCCAAGGCTCCACAATGGCTGGCCATTGACACCCCTGTGCGCCAAGGAAGGAGCTGGTCTCATGGGTGCAGTAACAGCTTTAATCGTCATGGCAGCCAGAACCGGCACCCTGGCCTCTGGGTGCTACTGGCGCCATGTCTGGGGAGAGAGCATGCCTGGGTGTGGTCACCCAGGGGCACGCTCCAGGGGTCCTAGAGCCCTGCTCCGCAGGCAGCAGCAGTCTTGAGCTGAAGGCCGTGTGGCCAGTATTTATATATTATACATATTTATATATATCTCATGTGTACACATAGTTTTCTCTCTCGAAAGTATTAAAAAATTGATCAACCCTCAATCTATAAAAAATACCTACTCTACATGATAGAAAAATCTCTCCTTCAAGTTTACACTGATTTACACCGAGGCTTCCCCAAATGTACAACACGAGCTAACACCCTCGCTAACACAGCGGGGCGGCCCTCAGACTCCAGCCCAGGGGGGCTCTGGAGAGCGAGCCTCCTACCACACCTTCCGAGGTGCCCCAGGGGTGAGGGGGGTGTTACAGGTCAGACACCCCAAGCAGGCGGCTCCCCGACCAGCCAGAGTCGGCCCAATTTTGGAGCAGAGGGTCTGCTGGGCTCCAGCCCCTGCCCTTGGGCGACCCGGTCAGAGCCTCAGGGTTACTTCAGCGAGGGGTCCAGCCACTGGCGGGGAGGGTGGGAGCCCTGAGCAGTTCGGGGTGATACCACAGCAGGCTGGGCAGGGAGGGCCTCTCGGGCGTGGGTACACCCTACGTCAGGTGCTGGGGTGCTGCAGAGCCGGGTCGGTTCCGTGGTGCCCTGGCCCAGCACGTGTGGGCGGGAGGGTGGGCATGAGTGCCAGGTCCCGGGTCTGTGGAGGCTGACGGGCAGACGTGATGGGGCGGTCTCGGGGGCAGCCCGACGCCTACTTCACTTCCAGGATAGATGGGTTGGTCTCCATGATGGCCACGATGATGCGGTCAATGTAGTCCTGCAGCCGGAAGTTGATCTCCTCCTGTTTCTGGATGGCCTCCATGAGCTACGGGCCAGACAGTGCGCGTGTGGGCAGCAGCCAGGTAGGAGGGGGCGGGGCCGGGTGGGACGGGGGCGGGGCCTCACCTCATCGCGGGACACCGAGCTGATCTCAGCGGCCAGGGACTCGGAGAAGGAGGCGGAAAAAAGGTTGCGCGCCCCCTGGATGCTCAAGGTGATGATCTGTCCGTGCAGCTCGTCGTTCTGCTCCTTGAGGCTTCGGTTGTCCTGCGGGGGCCGGGGGCGTCAGTCCCTGCACCACAGCAGTCCCCAGCCCCGCCCTGCCGCGCCCCCGGGCGTCCTACCTGCTTCAGCCTGCGCACCTCCTGCTCCAGCTCGTTCTCCCGGGCGCGGCTGTGGTACTCCTGCAGGCCCGCGCTGCTGCTCCGGCCGCGCCGCTGCTCCGCCTCCAGTTTGAACAACTGCAGCTGCTCCAACTGCTTCCGGAGGTCCTCGATGAGCTGGGGGGGACAGGGCGGCAGTGTGGGCACCCAGGCCTGGTCCCCGGTACACCCGGCCCCTCCCCACGTTGTTCCGAGCTCCTCTGCCCAGGGGTGGTGAGGAGTGTCCAGAAGCAGGTGGGTATCCCCCCACACCCGAGTGGCCTGTTCACCCAAGTGCCCGCGGTGAGTCCAGGGCGCTCGATTGGGGTGCACTCAGTCGCCCCCTGCCGGAGGCCAGGGCCCACCTCCTGGGTGGACTCCTTGTCCCTCTGGAACTGATGTCGCTCATGGCTCAGCCGGTCACCCAGCCGGCGCCGGCCCTCCTGCTCCTCACTCAGCCGCAGCGTCAGCTCCTCCATCTCGTCCAGCAGCTTCTGTTTCTCCTGCCGAGCCAGAGTGGCCTTTTGCTGCAAGTGCACCCCAAACCCGACTGGAACTGCCCCCCAGTACACCCAGCTCCCAATACACCCACAGCTGGCCCTCAAAATGCCCCACCCCGCCCCACCCCCCAGTATGCCCCCAGCCTTCCTGTCTTGGCACCTGCCCACTTCTAGTGTCTCAGAGCCCAGGACTGTGTTTGGGTGGTCCACAGGGCACAGGAACGCCACGCCTGCTGCTTGCTCACCTCCTCCAGGCGCTGGATGCTGGCCTTCAGGCAGGGCGTGCAAGAGCGCAGCTCGCCATTCTCCTCGTCCAGCTGCTGCAGCCTAGGACACAGACAGGCCAGGGGCTGCGCCCACATCCCCAGCCCCACACCCTGAGGCTAAGGGGAGCCCCACAACCCTCCTCTCACAAATCCTCCTCCTCCACAGCCGATGTCCTTTCTGGACCTTTTCACAACCACAGCGCCTATGCCAGGTACTCGATGGCTAGCTCCCAATATTTCGGACCCCCAAGGGCATCTTTTCCCACCAGGACCTCCAGGGTCCATGCCACAGCCTGTCCTCACATCCCTCAGGCATCTTGCCTCTGGTGACCCAGGCAGGTCTGGGGTCCCGGAGGGCCATCTGCAGGTATGCTCAAAGGATTAGCCTGGTACTGTTTTTGATGCACCTGGGAGGTGGGTTTGGGGAGCACACATCTTGGTGCACAGTGTCCATCCGACATCCTGGTGCTGCCCATGCTGATCTCCAGGGTGGATGCTGTGCTGCCGTGTCCCCAGGGTAACAGCATCCCACCCCCCACCCCTACCCCCCGGTGTCTGTTCCATGCAGCTGAGGGTCTTCACAGACACTGTCACCTGCCTTCTCGGGAAGGCTGACATGTGGCATCAGGCTGCCCATCCTGCCTGGCGCTGTGTCCACACACATCTGTCCACTGGTGCCTGGTGCCTTTCCTCCTGCACTCAGTGCCCAGTTTGCCTTGGCGTGTGCCAGCACCTCCTATGAACCTTTCCCTACCATCCTGTGGACACTGCAGCTGTCCATCTGGGTGGCCAGGGTCCAGGCAGCAGGACCAGTGCTATCCCACCGGGGAGACCCACAGCTCCCTGCAGGGTCCAGCAGGGACCTCCCACACAGCATCCTGCAGTCAGTCCAGCAAAAGTGGGCAGCAGCTCTGGGGGCCTTGCCTTCACCCCAACTGGCAGCTGGCATTCAGCCCTTCAGCTTCTGGACCTCAGCCCCCAGAACCTGGCTCTAAGGCTGCTACCGTGACTTCAAGACTGAAGAGGCCTTCATGCAGATGTGTGCTGGGTGGGCGCAATCCTGGCTCGAAGCTGTTTTCCTGGACAAGTGCACTTGCTCGTCTTCTTCTAAAACCTGTACCCGTCATCAGAGGGCAACATCTTCCCTGCTGGCCTTCAGCCACCGCGGGAAGCCTGGTTCAGCTCTTTCTCCTTCCATCACCAAACTCCAGGCTGGAGCCACCACCACACTGGCTAGCAGGACTCGCCCTCATGTGACCTGCTCTCCCCACAATGCCACAGGCCCAGGCCCACCGGCTGTGGCTCCTGAGTGATGTCGCGGCAGGAGTGCAAGGCCAGGCCAGGCCCCCACCCTTCACTTTCACTTGGTATCCCCCAAGGGGCTTCTGCTCTTCATCAGTGGCTCCCCCATGACACAGACCCTGTTCCTGGGGGAAACTGGCTTTCTTGTGACCCTATTTTTGATGCCCCGTGGCCCCCAGCACCACCACCCCTCTGTGGTACCAGTAGTTCACTCGGCGGCCCTGTGCCCCTGACAGCAGCAGCCCCTCCGCCGCCCCGCCCACCTCCCTTTTGAGTAGGCTCCTGGGTCATCCCCCCTCCCTCCCAGGGTCTTCAGACCCAGTGGCTCTGGAAACAGGACTGGACTCTGCCCCCGAGTATGTGTGTGAGCATCTACGGGTGGGTGGGTGGATCCTCAGGAGCCTATGGGGAGGGTGTGGGAGAGGAGTTGGAAGAGCTGAGTCTCTTTCCAGCTTCTAGAGCTGGACGGGCAGGGCAGCCCTTGGCTGCCGCTCTATGGACACTTGACAATGGCCCATTGGCACACCTGCATGCAGGCAGACACACCTGTACACACTCACATACAACCAGGCACCACCACACACAGGCACTCACATGCCTCAGGACAGACAGATAGACATGCCTTTACATAGGTATCCACACATAGGTCCACTGGTACACAGGAACCCACATGCCTCTGCAGCTCAGGGACTCACTGATATGGCCCTTCTAGCCAGCCTGTGTAACTCTCACCAAATGACTTGGGGGACTGTGCAAATGTGAGGTGTTTGGGGCCCACTCCGGTGACAGGGGGGCAGGTGCGGTGGAAGGGGGGACCGGGACAGCTGACATGGACTGCTCAGTTTAAGATGAGCCTCTGCCACCGCGCAGGTAGAGGGGGATGGAAGGCCTCCTGTGGCGCTCGGTCTCTGCAAGCTGCCTTGACACGCAGGCAGACGGGAGGGCAGCCAGGACCTCAGTCAGCAGAACTGACAGAGCTTAGACTCGCGCCTTCACAGGGCAGGGGCCAAAGGGCCTTGGGCTGGGTGTGTCGCTGGCACGCTGTGGGATCCTGACCGTGAGTTGCCCTCCCCACTCAGTCCACCGCTAGGCAGCATGGCTGCGAGCACTGTGTGGATGCTACGGCAGCCACAGGAACCCCGCAGAGGGGGAGCTGGGGTTGTGGGACTGACAGTAGCAGTCAGAACTGGCCATAAGGGCTGGAGGGTGCAGTGCTGCCCAAGCCTGGCTCCCAGGGCACAGGGTGCTGCTGCCACTCTCGAGTCCCTCCCGCCCCAGTGAAGCGGCCAGAGGGGCCCCAGGCCTATCTGCACACCCACACACGGGCACTCTACACGGACACCCACACACAGGCACTCTGTACACGGACACCCGCGCACGGGCACTCTACACGGACACCCACACACGGGCACTCTGTACATGGACACCCACACAGGGCACTCTGTACACAGACACCCACACACAGGCACTCTGTACACGGACACCCACACACGGGCACCCACACAGGGCACTCTGTACACGGACACCCAC